TTTAACTAGCTTCTGAATTTTTTGTAGTTCCCCCTTCTTGAAGTTAAATGCTGCTCTGGTGGGTTTTCTTTGATATGTTCCCCTTGGCATGGATGTTAAATCTAATTACTTTATAGTCACTGTCACCAAGTGGCTCCTCATGGACCAGCACCTTCATTCCATTTAGGACGAAATCCAGAATTGCCTTTCTCCTTACAAGAAGCAGTCTAGAAATGCTGTCACTGCATCCTTTCCTTAGGTTATTTGTATCTAGTCAATATGAGGATAGTTGAAATTCCCCTTCATTATTGTGTTTTCCGCCTTTTGTAGTAAAAACATGTTCATTGTCACCATCAAGTCAATTGAATATTCCAGCTGCTATTCTTTTATTGTTCAAGCATGGAATTTCTATCCATGGATGTTCTATGGCAGTGGTTTCCAACCACTGGTCTGTGAACCACTGGCTGATGGACTGTGGTAGCTCTGGACGCTGGAGCTGGGATACACTGCCCAGCGCCTCCTCTCCCAATGCGGCTGTTGGGAGAGGCATGTTCTGCCCTGCCTCTCAGTCAGTCAGCACCGGGCAGGGGTGGGGTCTCCTCCTAGCCATGGAAGAGCAGCTCGCTGTGCTGTGGGAGGGCAGCACGGAGCCCAGCCCAGCAACATTAGAGCAGGTGCACCTGGGCAGCAGCGCTCATCTGGTGGCTGGGAGGCAGCATAGGGCTAGGTGAGTGGGGTCGGGCAGGCACTGTGGGCTCCGGGGGCGAGGCTAGTGCTGGGGGACTCTGGAGATGGGAGGCTCTAAGAGGTGGGGGTCTGGCACTGGGGGCTGGCGGGACTAGTGCTGGGGAGCTCTAAGAGGTGGAGGGCTCTAGGGATGAGGCTGGGGAGCAGGGCTGGCAGTGGCAGGACATTGGGGATGGGGCTAATATTGGGGACTGGGTGCTGGTACTTGGGAGGGCCTCTGGGGGGAATGGGGTGCAGTGAGGCTCTGGAAACAAGAGACTGACATTGAGGGTCTGGTGGTGGGGGGCTCTAAGGGTGGGGGACTGGCACTGAGGCATTTGGGATAGGGGACTGGCACTGGGGGGCTCTGAGGGAGCGAGGCTGGTGCTTGGGGATTGGGTGCAGGGGAGTCTGAGGTCAGTGGCTGGCACTGGGGGGTAATGGAGGGGTGGGGGGCTCTAAGGGTTAGGGCTGGCACTGGGAGAGACTGGGGGCTGGGACTTTTTATATTGTGGAATGGCAATCCCATTCATAAACTCCGAAATCTTGGAGTCGTGTCCATCCCCCCTCCCCCCCGTCAATTGGCAATCAACTCTTGAACATTTCCATGCTCCTGCTTCCATTTCCCAGTTAGTTTTGGTGGTGCTTGGGTAGCTCATGAATATGATTTTTATAAAAGAGGATATGCTAAAGCTGCTTGCCCTTTTTCATCCTTGTTGCACACCCCTTCCATATACCCTTTAAGCAGGGAATAAGAAAGAGCCTCTTCTAGCCCTCCTAATGACTTCTCCTAGGCCTAACCCACAGACTGCATGGATGCATCACAGTCCTAATCTGCAGCACCCTTTGTATTATACTTAAAAAGAATAAAGTGAGTAAATTCCTCAGTTGGAAGAAGCAAACATGGTAATTAATATTATCCCAGCCTGGAGCTTTAGCCCAATCCTTCATCTTTGCCATTATATTTTCAATCCTAAACTATCAGAGCCTCTGTGAGACTATTCCTAGAAATCTTCCTGCTCTTCCATTACACCTCAGTCCCCTGCTCTTACAAGGTTATGTTTTTCCCCAGAATTCCTCCCTCCTAATTCCGCCCTGAGCTTTCATTACCCCTGTTGCACCTTGATTTTGAGCAGTAGTACTTCATCCTAATCCAGACTTGGTACCCCACAAGCAGTTCTGTCAATCCAGCTCAGTCCTAAAAGGGTTTCCAGGATGGGTACAGGGCACAGAAAGATCATGTTTTGTTCAAGCACTTACTATACCCAGTTTCTCTCTCCCTACTCAGACCACTTTAAAAAGATATTTTCATTGTGGAGCAAATTTTATTTTACAAAGAAGAAGAGAGCTCATTTGATACAAGTGATTTCCATGGCCAGCCATTTCATTTGTTCCCATTGTTACTATAGCAGATATGTGTAATGAATAACAGCCTTTTCTCCTCCCCTCTCATATTCCTCCCTGTTTTAGCCTGCAGTGAAGTCACAATCCAGTGTTTGTAGACTCCATGTGATGTCACAGAATCAGCCTTGTGACTTCACTTGCAGGCTCAGGCAGAAGGTGCGGACGGGGCTGAGAGAAGAGAAAAAAGCCTCCCCCCCCTTTACTCCCACCCTCTTGGTTTATAAAACCAGTAGCTGAGATAAATCGGAAGGGGGTGGGGAGAAGCAGCAGGGAAAGCCGAGAATCATGCCAGAAAGGTACAGTAAATTGGCTTTATTTCTCTTCTTCTTGAAAGTTTAGAGTATAAAATTGCCCTGCAGAGGCCAGATCTTGCAGACCACACGCGTGTGTGTGCCACCCAGTGACGCTCTGGCTGTACGGTGCATTCTCTGATGGTGTGTGTGGGGAGGGAGGCAGTGAGGGATGCAGGGTAGGGGCAGGGAAATCGCTTAATACCGTTTCTCAGAGGAACGCAGCTGGAGTCCTATTTGGCTGGTCACAGCGAGCCTCTTTCTTGTCCATTTCAAAGGCCCCAGCTGCTGGCTGTTCTCTGCATTCTGTCTTCAGCTTTGAAACCGACATAAATGGGTTATTGGGTTTGTGACTCTGGTGGTGGTGATTTTTTTTTTTGGTTGTTGTGTGCGTGTGCTTTGCAGGTTCAGAGTGGTACCGGAGAAGAAAGGGGGAGGTGTTGGTATTTGACTGTGGTGGGTGTATGCATAAGGAGGGAGACGGGCAGGGCCTCAGGGTCACATTCTCAAGAGCTGCGAGACATTTTTTTCTCCTTTTAAATATTTCCATCTTTTTAACTGATGACAGCAAAATAGCACATAGGTGAGCTCCCTTTAGCAGTTTTTTTCTGTGTCCAATTTGCCATTCATTTGAGATTTTGGACAAAGAAGGGGCAGTGGGTGGGCTGCTTTGAGTTTTGTGATATAATATGACTGGAGCGAGAGAGCAGAATGCAGACAATTAAGAAATGGAGAGAGGTCTTTGCTCATTCAGTCTGTTCAGGAAGCCGTCATTTTGTGTTAGTCTGTGTGTCTGGAGGAGGAAGGATGGGGAGAGAGTGACAGTGAAAAGCTGTACGACATTGCGTTGTTTCTTGTATTTGTTAAATACACACTCAAGGGAAAAGGGACTTCTAAGAAAATCAGAAGAGAAGGGTGTCTTGCTAAAAATGACCCTGCACTGACTCGCATTCAAGTGGATTCTTATTGACAGTGATGTAGTGGTTTTGTTCTATTTTTAAAACGAAGGGCTGAAGACAGAAGGTGCATGAAGGTGCTGTGCGAGCTCTTGTCTACCACAGCTTTGCCAGTGTACCTCATCCTGATGACCAGCAGCATTTCTGCGATTCCATTCCTAGACCATGATTGGCAGCGCTGTGTTCATCTCATCTTGACAGTCTGCAGCAGCCTTGCTGTTCCCTTTTCTGGTCCTAAGGGCATTTCAGTCCTGATGACCTACAGCACCCCACACATTTTTAGAGCAGGACCCTCATTCACCTCTGCCAATACATCTCAATCTTGATGAACAGCTCCCCCTGGCACTTAATTAATTGTGCAGCATTCTTGCCGTCTAAACAGAAAACTCTTTTATCAGCAGAGATGCACCCACTGCATGGTTCTGAAAATCTCTAATTCTGCAGACATCTAGGAAGAGCTCTGTAGATCACAGTTTGAGAATCTCTGTGCTAGAGATGGGATTTGAATCCAGGTCTTCAGTGATGAAAACCTATTGCACTAACCCCTCTGTGTAACTAAATTTCTTCTTCGCTGTCCCCCTCTGGGATGCACATATAACCCCCCTTATGTCTTTTAATCTCTGTTCATTCCCCTGGCTTTTAAATGGTGTTACCGGCCCCTCAGGGGGAGTTGTGAAGATTTGTTAGGTTTTTAATAACACTTTTGCTATTTAAGTGTTGTGTTGGTTCCTCTGAGCCATGACCAGTTATTAGCTTAAGAAGTGGAGACTGAAATCCTACTTCACCCCTCTGAGAATTGAAGTCAAATTACCTGTCACTCCCCTAGGAAATCCACAGCTCCCACATTTCTGCTATTTTTCATCAGCAACAGAAGACAAATGTGTGGCAAAAGTTAGGTGGGACTGACTACTGCATCTGCTGTAATCTGTGTGTGGACCCATAATGTGATTTGAGGGAAGAGAATAGTTGAGGATTAGCAAAGATTTTATATAGAAAATACTTAAATCTTGTCCTTGCTTCTGGGTAATGCAGGATTGGTCTCTCCTGTATGTTCCTCTGGGCATTGTGCAAACCTGTTTCAAATTACTGAAGTTATGAGACTTCCACCACTTTTTTGCTTTTCTCTGAATTTCCTTCAACATGCTTAGAGATATTCCTCAATGTTGTACCCAGGGGTTACCTCCGTCCCATACTGGAAAGTCAAATGATCCAATCCCTTTCCTAAGAAAAGGAACAGAGGGGTAGCTGTGTTAGTCTTTATCTTTAAAACAAGTAGCCCTTTGGCACCTTAGAGACTAACAAAAATATAATATCATGAGCTTGCATGGGTAAAACCACTTCATTAGATGAATTGGAGTGGAAAATACAGAATCCAAGGTATAAGTATAACAGCAAAAGCAGCACACATCCAGCCTACTTAATTAGCTTCATTAACACGGGTCCTACAATTGACAGGTAACTTTACAATTGCTGTTATATTTATTCCTTAGATTCTGTATTTTCCACTCCAACTCACCTGATGAAGTGGGTTTTACCCAGGAAAGCTCATGATCTAATATATTTGTTAGTCAGTCTCTAAGGTGCCACAGGACTACTCCTTTCTAAGAAAAGGAAGGTTGCCAGGTGTCTTATTTCATATTCACAGGCTGCTGTGAGGAAAGGAGGCAGGCTGCAGCTGGGCAGGAGGATAAAAGCATTTGAGGTAAGGGAATTTCCCCCTCTCTGAGGAAGGCAAGTAATCAGGGAGCACATGCAAGGAGCTGTCTGAGAGCAAGAGAGTGCCATAGGCAGGAGATGCCTGAATTCTCTGGAGAGCCCCCAGTTCATGGCAAAGGGGAACTGAGCAGATTTTTTTTCCTTTTTATGAGAGCCCCTCTAGCTGCCAACATCATCACCCATATTTTCCCACTTATCTTTAGCCCTGAAGAAAAAGACTTAGGCCTTAAGGAAATCCACTCTTTTCTTGACATACAATGCTAGCTAATTCCTGGGGGTGACTACCTCTTTTCAGAAATGTTAGCAGAGCAAGACAGCTCCTTGATCTCCAGAATGAATGAATTTTTATCATAAAAGTTGTGAAGCAGAGCCACCATCTGGAAAGAGCAATTCCCCCCACCCTGTGTTTCCCACTCCCCCATTGGTGGATTGGCTGGCTGCATCATGGGCCAGTGTGCTGTGTTACAAGCATTGTCTTTGGGAAATATGACTCTTTCAGGGATGCTACATGTTTTCTGCCCACCCTGATATACACAAAGTTTGGATCGATCTGTCTGTCTGTGGCCATGAAATCATTTGAGATGCAGGGTTCTTTTCTGCCCTGGTGAGTATGGAATTCTGGACCTTACACTTGGCTAATACCTGTGCAAACTCATTGAGGGCTTCATTTGAACTACAGCACCTCTTTCACAGGTGGAGGTGCATGAGAGGGAAAGACCCCAGCTAAGCTGTCAGAATCTTAGCAAATACTGCAGCATTGGTAATTTTTAAACAAAAAGCCCACATTTTTTAAGGCCGTGTCTAATTTTTTTCATAAACTTTTCTTTAAAAGTTCAGTATTTGTGTGTCAGCTGTGGCTACCTCTTCTGTCAAACACTGCTGAATCGTTGGAGACGCATGCACCTAGATCTTCAAGAGAAATAGTAATGGCCTATTTCAGCAAAGGATTTAGTATCTTAAAAATTAAGCCTAGTTAACTTAATTGGGCTGTTTGTAGATCCTTTTGAATCTGGAACTAGTAGCAGCCCGTGTTGTTACTAGTAGTTGCCTATGATGATCCCTCTCCTGTTGCCCATTCCCAGCTTCTAACAAACAGAGGCTAGGGACATCATGCCTGTCCATCCCGACTAATAGTCATTAATAGACCTATCGTCCATGAATTTATCTAGCTTTTTTTTGTAGCCTGTTATAGTCTTGGCCTTCACAACAATATGGGACTCTGATCTATGTGTAGGCTATACTCCTAGGATAGTAGGTAATACTGATATTTTAAAATCGGGTCATTACTGTTTTGCTCCCTATCCTACTTCAGCTCCAGCGTGATCTTAGAAGACCTTACAAGGAATGAATGCTTTTTGAAATTTGAGATTAGTGGCTTCAACATTGCATTGTTTCTAGCTCTTGCAGTTCTTCATGTAGCAGATATTAAAATCAGTTGAATTTGAAGTTGTTGGGTTTGGGGTTTCTTGTGGGAGTTGAGGAGGGTAAGGCAAATGGAAAATCAAAATATATTTGTTTTTGTATGATGTTTCAGGAGTCGTGAGAGCTACAAAACCCTCCTGTATGTTGCAACAAAACTGGAATTCATTGGGGCATAATATTAGTTTCTGTCCTTGGAGATTCCTGAGTTTTATTGTATATCTAAATGGTCCTTCAGATCAGGCATAAGTACAGGGCACTTACCAGACAAGCCAAGAATACTTTCAGCATCCAACAATTCTGGTCCAGTCACATACACTTTGTTTACTCTTCACCTTCTGCCACAAGCCTATCTCAAATGCTTTGTATAATGCACCTAAACTTTTGTAATTACATAGAAATGAGGCATCTCTTATATACTATCAGTGATGTGGAGACCCAACCTTACCCCTTCCAATAGCAAATACCCCCAATTAAGTTTTTGATAATTTGATATTCAAAATAACTCTTGCGTCATGTAGGAAGAAAACAGTGGGGGAATGGAAGTAGGAATCTAAATCTCAATTGTCTCTAAAATTTGGTATAATATGTTACAGGGATTTAAAAATGAAGAGACCCTATAAAGTCTGGAAATTCCCACTTCCCTATGAGCAGAATAAAAAATAACCAAGAAAACTCCTGTTAAAGGCAAACACATTTAAAAATCTATAAAACATATTCTGGCAAGGCAGAGTTGTTTTTTGTAATGCTGTTCTTCTGGTATTTTACTATTTCAATAACTGTTATAAAAGATGGGTGGTTCTTCTGGTATTTTACTATTTCAATATGTCTAGTGATTCAGATAATGAGGATGTATTGATATAATGGTCCCTTTTGCTTAACTGGAGAAAGTCTTGTCAGTGAACCATATATTTTGTATGGCTTACTATTTTAAATTCACATACTTTGAACATCTTCATGGACATGGGATCATTTTCCCTCAAAAGTTCAGCTCTTCTTGCTGGAGTCAGATTCCTTTGTCTGAAACATCAAAACCACTTCCACAGCAACCAAATTCTGATATTGCAAATGGGGTTTTCTGAAAAGAAGCGAAGGGAGTATGTGGCAGAAACTGAACAGATCTGAAGGAAAAAAATCTTATTTTCATATGCTGGTTCCTTGAAAAAGAGAAAGATGGGGTAAGAGGAGTATTGAAACATAAAGCACTAGAAGGAGCACTGTCTACTGCAGTGTTTCTCAAAGTGTTCCACGAAACCACTTTGAGAAACACATTAACTGACCGCGCCCCGGTTTGTTTATTTACTGGCGCCGCAGCCACAGAGCCTTGCAGCTCCCATTGGCTGCGTTTTGCGCTTTGCAGCCAAGTGGAGCAGCAGGAAACGGTGGCCCAGCTCATGTTTTTTACTTCCATGATGACCGCATTCAGCCACTTGTGTCAGCTTCACCTTAGGTATGCTCCAGTATTCTTAATTCTGGCTGACTTGATGTTGCAGTAGTTGGAGTGTAGGACTCAGCACTGTGGCTTATGGTGGTAGCCTCTGGTATCTTCAAGAGAACCATTTGCAAGTGATGGACCAAGTCATGACCATCAACTTGACTCTCTCTAACACATACAGTATTTCCACAAAGAAGTGGGATTTTTTTGACCAGTATCTCACAAGGAATCTAATGCCAGTGAATTAATCAGGGATGAGACCTTCAGGCACTTATCACATAGTCCTGAGAGATACTGAACACTGCTCTTCCCTCCAGTGGGGTCAGATAGAAGACTTTTTAGCTGAATCACTGTGCAAAGAGTAGAAGGAAAGAATTGGAATAGTGCTAGAAGATGCTAATGAGTGCCGTCATACTGACATCTGTCTCACTTCATGGCAGACTAACTGCTGTGGCTTTGAACTTGCCTAAAGAATTAGCTGTCTCACAACTAGTGTAAGTGTCAGTCCACGGTAATGTGGTCTGTGATAGGGACATAAGTAGCTGAGCAGTCCATTGGTTCCCAGTCTTTTTGAACATACGGACCCATTTTCAATCTATTAAAATGTCATGGACACCCCCCCTCCTCCCTGGGGGAGAAAGAAAAGAAAGAAAGGATGGGGCTCACTACAGTGGTCCTGATCCTTACCTTTAAAATTTCCACGGATCCCCTGCAGTTCCATCACGGTCCACAGGTTGGGAACCCCTGGAGTAGTCGACTACTTGTATTCCCCCCCCCCCTTTGGTGTCTCTGTATCAGACAGTGGGGGGAAGAAGGAGCCGGTTTCCCCCCAACACTGTCTCCGTGGTGCTGTCTGCCCCCATCCCTGCACCCTGCTGCCTCTAACAGTGGCAGCAGCAGGGGTTGGGAAGGGAGGAGAAGGCTGATACTAAACTGCCTCTGCTCCACATCCTGTGGAGCAGCCCCTGTCTGCAGGGGGTCCAGTGGCCCCTGTTCACAGCCAGCCCCAGCCTCCGCAGACGGGCTGGTG